GATGGTTATTGTCACACTCCCTACTGACTCATGAAACCTCATGCACGATGGCATGGCACCTACCCCTTCGGTTTCTGCACGAGCCGCCATCCACGTTGTGATGCGTTGGGTCTTCAGTAACTGTTTTCAGAAGTAGATCACCACGCCTTTATTCTTGATGCAGCTCAGTCTGGTAACGCCACTGAACCCTGCTTGGCATCATAATACATAATACACAAGCCTCCACTGATGGGTGGACTTGAACCCACATTTCCTTCGTGGAAGGTGAGACGTCTACCACCTAACCATCAATGCTACATTCATATTGCTGAATATAGCTATAGAAATACTTTCCATTCTGAGAAGATGCATTCTGATTATTTCAAAGAAAAATGAGGTACCTACTCCATGGTGGGGAACCCTGGTGGAGTAGTGATTACCAGTTGGCCTGCAGTCTGAAAGGTCAGCAGTTTGAAGCCACCAGTTGCTCCAGGGGAGAAAGCTGGAGCTTTCTCCTCTGATAAAGAGGTACAGTCTTGGAGACTCACAGGGGAAGTTCTACCCTGTCCTATAGCATCACTATAGTTGGTATTGACTTGGTGGAAGGGAATTAATTTTACTCCATGGTAAAATCCCAGTTGTTACTCTGGAGTGAATCCTTCAAGTGCTGTCTGGGTATCCTCACTATCTCCAAGCTTCTGCTCAAGCCAAAGCTAGAGCCAACTAGCACTTCCCATTTGTTTTACAAAGGTGATGGTGCTGTGTGGGCCAAGGGTTGGGCTGGTAACTACAAGGTTGGAGGTTCAAGCCCACTAGCACCTTTTCGGGCAAAAAATGAGGCTATCTTCTCCTCTGAAGATTTGTAGTTTCTGAAACCCTGTAGAGGGTGGCTATGAGTCCGAATCAGATAGATGGCCCCAACAACAACAACAAATCCAAACCCATTGCCATCTAGTCAATTCTGACTCACAGGGTTTTGGAGGCTGTAAATCTTTATGGTAGCAGATAACTCTCTTTCTCCTCTGGAGTGGCTAGGGGGCTTGAACCACCGGCGCTACAATTCACAGTCTAACCCTTACTCCAAGCCATCTTGATTTCTTTATAAGTCCTACTCTTCCCAGATTGCCTTTCTCTCATCACTGAGAGAGATGCTGACTCATAGAGACCCTACAGGGACAGGGTAGAACTGCCTCTTTGCTTTGTTTCTGAGACTGTCAGGGCTTACAGGACTAGAAAGCCTTGTCTTTCTCCCAAAGAGCAGCTGGTAGCTTTGAACTGTTGGCCTTATGGATCGAAGCCCAACTCATAACCACTCCATCAGCAGGGCTCACATGCTCTCATGAAAACCTCCTTGTTTCAAAGTGAGGCTCGGGGGCCTCCTCCTCCATGGGTAACTGTATCTTCCTTTAAACTTCTACACTTTATCTTCCTTGCTAGACTTTGTGGTGGCAGAATTCCATATCTATGCCATATCTAAAATGTCCAGAAAGGTGCCCTTTATAAGGTGAAAGAGTAGAAAACAAAACAAAATATAGGGATTACCTACGGCCCTTCCCTAGCAGTTAGGATTGTGATTTCTTCACCCTGCTTCCTTTTTAGAAGTAAATTTATTTTTCTATTTCATATATAGGAAGCTAGGTTGATATTTCTCTTCGAGTCATTTTGGAACTTGAAACCATGTTACTAAAGTGTATCTTTAGCTGATTTCTTAATGAGAATTCAGCAGTGCAATTTTGAAAGACAATAAATAGGACTTTTCTTACTATAGAACCGGTGCCCTTTTAGTCTGATGGGGTTATATATTTTAAAGAGGAACAGTTGGGGCTCCCAGCATTTGTATAAATATGAGACTGTCCCTTTAAGCACTCGGGGGCTGCAAAATGTCCCTGGAAGAATTCCACTATCTTTAAAAAGAGTGGTTTTATTGAGCTGTAATTAACACATTATACAATTCAGTAGTTCAATCAAATGAAGGAAAGTTGTGAAATTCTCACCACAATCAGCTTCGGAATATTTTCTTCCTTCTTGTACCCATTGCCATTCACTCCCCATTACCCACAGCCCTCGGCTAATGATTAATCCAGTTACAGTGTTCATCCATTAACTTTTAATTCCATTTTCTCCACAAACTTTTGAAGTCCTCTCTCATTGGTCTTTGGGACTCATTACCTCTTTCCTCTTGAAAGGTGTCTTAAGGGGAGCCAAACACCCAACTCTTTTTGATTTCAGTCCTCGTGGCCTGGGCTTTGACAGCATCATTTAGTTGGAAGGTAAAAGCAGACCAGGTGCCTTCTACTGCAGTATTCATTCATTCGATCCCAGCCTAGCTCAGCCTTGTGGAGATAGGAGACCAAGTGGCAGCTGATAGACTGTTGCTTAGAGGGTAGGTGGCAGCCACCATAGATGCTCTCAGAAATGCTCTGACAAGGCCTTGGGGGAGAATGGTGTCCTTTCACAAATAGTGCCTATTTGCTGACAAGGCAGCCGGGGAAATCATGGGTGGCAGCTGATTCTCATAAACAGGAAGAACAGACTAGTTTGGCAAAGGCTTCTGTGCATCTTGCCCATCTGCATGCTTCCAGGCAGAGGAAACTGTTCCAGGTGGTTTCAGATGTGCCAGTAAACCTCCAAGCACCATGTCCCTCATCCCGTCAATGCCACATACCCCAGGATCCCGTAATGAGAACATTTGTCAAACAAGCCAAGGAGGAAAAGAGAGAGCCAGGTAGACACATCAGAATAGCTCATCCTCACTCTTCAAATGTCCTGCAATCTTATCACACTTGCCAATCCAAATCACCTGCAGGGGTCTTAACACAATAAAGGGGCCCTCAGCTGTCCCATTATGTTCTTTTCCCTCAACTGAGCTAAAATGTATATTTTTATCTAAAAATCTCATCTAAGGAGAAAAGAGACTGTGGTTTCAACTGATAGTACTGCGACACGCAACATTTTAATTTTATTTTACACGTTTTAATCCGTCATGGATTTGGAGAAAAGACTGTTTAGGAAAAATAATTTTTTTTGCAAGTTCTCTTTCTTTAGGATCGGTACATACATTAAACTCAAGCTGATTTTCCGGAAGCTGAGTGAATGTGGTGTTATTTGGGGCGGGGGTGGGAGATGGGGATGCATTCACACATCATTTTTCCGTCCTTTAAATTTTAAATTAAAAAATCTGTTTTGAGAGGAAAACGGACCACGCCGGCCTATCAAAAGCGCTGACTTGTCTCATTTTCCCACGTCAGAGCAAAGCGCTCCTATGGGCTCTTCATTGTGCAGGGATGTTGGCAATGGAGTCTTAATTAAGTCTCCAAACCGCCGAAAAAATGAAAACAAACAGCCAAAACGGGGGGGGGGGGGGAGAGGAAGGGTGGGGGTGCTAAGGAGCTAGACTAAATGTGTCAGGGAACAGACTAATTTATTTCCAAAAGGTATAGTCCTTGCTACTACAAACAACCCATTTGCCCAAGAGACGGTGAAGTCCATTCCAGTAGGGGGGCGGGGAGGCGGGCAGGGAGCGTGCTTGTCTTGTCTGGGGTTTGTCCTGGGGTTCCAATCCCCAGGCCTGGCTGGGCGTGCCAGTACCGGTTCCATTCTCCAGGACCAGAGAACCGGCCGCCGGCGCCCGGCCCAGGGAGCCCTGCCCCAGCACTCCTGGCCTTCAGATCCCACACTTGTCAAAGGTCCCTTCGCTTCCACCCCCACCCTGAGCCTGTACAACCCAACTCGGCTACCTCTGCTGAGCCGGGGTGCCACGCTTGCGCGGGAGGCCGGGGTGCCCGGGGTGGACCCCGACACCCAGGGCTGCGGGGGCGCGAAGGGCGCCGGCGGTTGCACCCGAACTCGGTGCTGCTTGCAGCCGCGGCAGCCGGAGATCTGGCGCGGGACGCTCCCTCCCGCTGTCGCGGGGGAATGAATGATTCCTCAAACCGCACCCCGCGGGAGTCGTGGAGCCACTAGTGTCCCCCCCACTTTTAGGGTGAAACACATTCGCCTCTGCGTTTATTCATCGCCCTTGCGTGTGGTCCCAGCTTCGGTCCTCTGCAGCGTCAGGACTCGCAGACACATAAGCACACGGCCGTGATCGCTAGGGCCACTCGCCCCGGTGGGCTCCGGCCCGGAGTCGCTGTCGCCTCCCGGCCGGACAGCCCCCCCGCAGGCCGCGCAACGTTGGCGGCCCCCTCCAGCTCCCCGC